CTCCCAAAGTGCTGGGATTACAGGCTTGAGCCACCGCGCCCGGCCCAGTTTTTCTTTATACGTTTGTTGTCTATGAATTGTCCCTCTTCCCTAATGCCTACCTTTTTTTTTTTGAGACGGAGTCTTGCCCTGTCACCAGGCTGGAGTGCAATGGAGTGATCTCAGCTCATTGCAAGCTCCGCTTTCGGGTGTTCAAGTAATTTTCCTGCCTCAGCCTTCCAAGTAACTGGGACTACAGGTGCGAAACACCATGCCCAGCTAATTTTTTTTTAAATTTTAGTAGAGACAAGGTTTCACCATGTTGGCCAAGATGGTCTCTATCTCTTGACCTTGTGATCCACCCTCCTTGGCCTCCCAAAGTGCTGGGATTACAAGCGTGAGCCACTGTGCCCAGCCATGCCTACTTTTATGGAATAAAAAGTTTTTTTTTTTTTTTTTTTTCCGAGACGGAGTTTCGCTCTTGTTACCCAGGCTGGAGTGCAATGGCGCGAACTTGACTCACCGCAACCTCTGCCTCCTGGGTTCAGGCAATTCTCCTGCCTCAGCCTCCTGAGTAGCTGGGATTACAGGCACGCACCACCATGCCCAGCTAATTTTTTTTTTGTATTTTTAGTAGAGACGGGGTTTCACCATGTTGACCAGGATGGTCTCGATCTCTTGACCTCGTGATCCACCCGCCTCGGCCTCCCAAAGTGCTGGGATTACAGGCTTGAGCCACCGCGCCCGGCCCGGAATAAAAAGTTTAATCTAGTATGAAGTACATAACAAAGAGAAGAGAAAAAGTTTTAAACACAACTCTTAAACCCTATATAATATTCAGAATTACCTATAAGTAGCATGTATCATCCATGTGGATGTTAAGATATTTTTTTCTTTCAAAAAAAAGATCTTTTTCCTATTTTAGCCTTAGCTGCAAAATTCAAATTTGGTATTCAAACTTAGTAACTAACTTTTCTTAGGGCCCTAGTTATATGTATTCCTTCTACAACTAATACCTACTTTCATTCTTGTTACGTTTTGAATATTTAAGCTACCTTAATTAAATCCTTTAAAAAGTAGGTCAGACATAGAGCCTGAATAAATCCCAAAACACAACATTGCAACCAAACAATATGTCCACACATTTGGTGGCCTAACTAGTTCAAGTTTCAACATGGTTATGTGAGATACATGTTAAATGCTTGGACCATAATACAGCTACTTTTTAAAATTGGAGTAGGTGTCTGTACCAAATTCAATTATCTCTTATGGTAAAAGATAATAAGGCAAGATTAAATGTATCCCATAGATAATTCCAAAACTTCATTTTAGCCATCATCTTCAAACTTATTTCCCCAGTTATCAAAGATTCATAATAATTCGGTGTTAGAAGTATTTCTAACAAGTAACAAAACAAATTTTAGTATTTGTACAATTGTTTCCACTTCCCAAAGACCACTCTCTGATGCAGGTATGATCAGGAAGTGAAATAACCACAGATGTACAGTCATAGGGAGAAGCAAAAAACCCAGATCATCAGTTCCTGAACCACTAAAAATTGACCATAAATGCTACTTTCTGGTGGGGGAAAAAAGAAAAGGAGGAGGGAGAGGGGAGAACACAAGGAGAAGAAAGGGCTATATAAAACTCTTTCAGTCTCTTTTGAAGATAATCCAAATCTCAATGAATAAAGAAATCCATCAAAGACAGACCAAATAGATGTGCTTATTGATTTAAAAAGATCTTATTTATGAACAAGTAATGAAAGAATATATATTTTGGACAAATACGCCAATTTTATTTCCCAGACTTACCCTTCCCCAAGAGAAAAACTGCTATGGGAACTGTTGAAACCAGGTGATGGGGAATTATTGACATACGTGATCTCAGGCCATGGAGAACACTAAAAACAAAGGATAAGTTAGATAATAATAAGCACATTTGACCCTATTGCTCCTTGAATAGCACATCTTGATTAGTAAATCTTAATTCCTCAGAGACCCTCATAAGCAATAGAGAACACTGCTTCTCTTTCCGCCATCTTGGAGCCTGTAGAGGCCTTCTGGGAATAGGACTTCTAAAAGGAAATATGTCTAGAAAGCTGTGGTCCTGGGCCATTTTTGCTGGATTTAAGTGGGTTCTCCAGAACCAAAGGCAGCACACAGTTCTTCTTAAAATTGAAAGTGGTTTATTCCCAAGATGAAACTGAATTATATTTGGGCAAGAGATGTGCTTATGTAGACAAAGCAAAGAACACCATAGTGACTCCTGGCAGCAAAGCAAACAAAACCAGAGTAATCTGGGGAAAGATAACTTGGGACACTCAGAAACAGTTGGCATTGTTCATGCCAAATTCTAAAGCAATCTTCCTGCTAAGGCCACTGGACACAGAATCCATGTGATACTGTGTCCCTAAGGATTTAAACTAATGGAAAGTAAATAAAAGTAGATTTGTGCTCTTGTTTTTTTAAAAACAAAAACAATACCAAAACAGAGTGAGAGAGAATATTGCTTAGAAGAAGTAAATTTTGACCAGTTTGGAAGTGATGAATTTTTCTTTTAAGATTAAAAATTATGAACTGAAACTGTCACCAAGAGAAATCGTTACCTCTGTGAGTATGGTCGTCTCATAGGAAGGTTGATATTTCTCCTTTTCATGAGGTGTTCGTTTCTCCATTTTCTCTCTGTCTGTTTTTTGCTTTCTGTCTGCTCCTTTGGGCTGAAATGAGAAATATTTTGTTTTAAACTCAGGTAATCACCTTTTAAGCCAACAATATTACTTCTAAAAACTTAAATATTCACATATGAAACAAAATTGTATGTGCAGGGATGTAAAGGTAAGAAACATCACTTTAAGTTTGAAAATAGGAAATTTACATGTTTGATAGAGTTGAAAAGAATCAGATCTATAGCTACTGACATGGAAAGATGTCTAAAGCACACAGTTCACTAAAAAAAACCAAGTCTCAAAACAATTCAATAGTATCATCCCACTTATGTGTCAAAGAAAATATGTATGTACCTATGTATGCATGTGTATAAAAGCACAGAAGGGAACTAGAAGAGCTGGGCGTGGTGGCTCACTCCGGTAACTATCGCACTTTGGGAGGCCAAGGCAGGCGGATCGCCTGAGGTCAAGAGATTGAGACTAGCATGGCCAAATGGTAAAACCCTGTCTCTACTAAAATTACAAAAAATTAGCTGAGCATGGTGGCACATGCCTGTAGTCCCAGCTACTGGGGAGGCTGCAGCATGAGAATTGCTTGAATTTAGGAGGCAAAGGTTGCAGTGAGCTGAGATTGCGCCACTGCACTCCAACACGGGCAACAGAGCAACAGAGTGAAATTCCATCTCAAAAAAAAAAAAAAAAGAAAAGAAAAGAAGAGGGAACTAGAAGAACACATACAAAATTATGACAGTAGTTTCCTCTGGGAAGAGGTTGCAAGGGGGTTCGGTGTAAGAGTAGTAAAGTGAGAATTTCAGCATTGTTCTGAATACTTCTGTATTATTCAATTTCTTACAATGAGAACAAATTAAAAATTTTTTTTAGATGGAGTCTTGCTGTCACCCAGGCGAGAGTGCAGTGGTGCAATCTTGGCTCACTGCAACCTTCACCTCCCGGGTTCAAGTGATTCTCTTGCCTCAGCCTCCCGAGTATCTGGGATTACAGGTGTGTGCCACCATGCCCAGTTAATTTTTTGTATTTTTAGTAGAGATGGGGTTTTACCGTGTTACCCAGGATGGTCCTGATCTCCTGACCTCATGATGTGCCCACGTTGTCCTCCCAAAGTGCTGGGATTACAGGCGTGAGCCACCGTGCCAGTCCCAAGAACATACTTATCTCTGTGATAAAAATAAATAGGACCCTGGCTGGGGCACAGTGGCTAGTATCTATAATCCCAGCACTTTGGGAGGCTGAGGCAGGCAGATCACTTAAGCCTGGGAGTTCAAGACCAGCCTGGGCAACATGGCAACACCCCCCCCTCTACAAAAAATACAAAAACTAGCCTGGTGTGGTGGCACATGCCTATAATCCCACTGACTAGGGAAGCTGAGGCAGGAGAATTGATTCAGCCCAGAAGGCTGAGGCTGCAGTGAGTTGTGATTGCACCACTGCACTCCAGCCTGGGTGACAGACTGAGACCCAGTCTCGAAAATAAATAAAGAAGACCAAATAAGAAAAGATCAAGTATGAATGTAACCAAAAATAGACCATTTTTATAAGCTTTACAAGGGCTTGTAACTTCAACAGGCTTTAAGAGCTTTCAATGAGAACCCATGTTCTTGTCTCTAGCCTTCTTTTCCAAATTCCTATTATCCCATGACCATCTCCATGTAAACTTCTTTAGCAGGCATCTTGGTTATTATTTCAATGACTCTAGCTTAAACGTTTTTTCATTTTTTGTTTTCAAAAAAAAAAAAAAGACAATTTGACTTTCTGACTTTGTAGCTAATGTTAACATAGAATGATAAGGTAAAAGAATCCAAGGGCTAGCACATTGCGCAGGAATACCTTGAAAACTTTGATCTGGCAGCTGGCCGAGTGTAAGTGCTCAGTATATTCCCCGTTTTCATTCTCCTTGAAGGTATCAATTTGCACTCGGAATGGCACCCCCTTTTCTCCACCATGTTTCCTCATAGTGAACTCTGTGCTAATACAGTGCACCTGAAAAGAATACAACATCAAGGTTTCAGTATGGCTAGCTAGCCAAACCAGGTGGCAGTATTTTTTTTTTTTAAGCAACTATTAACAGCAAAACCTTTACTAGGCATTACGAATAGCTACAAAAAACACTTTTCCTCTTTTTGATCTTGAAAAACTTATAATCTGATAGAGGAAATACAAAAACTTAAATGATTTACAAATGAAAACAAAATAAATGTACAGATCTAATGCTAACAAAAGCTACTGTGAGTAACTAAATTCATTAACTGCTTCAAAGAACGCAGAGTTAGCAAAAGAGAAATGATTTCTGTGAGTTAAAGTTTCCTCAATTTTAAGGAAGATCTTAGAAAGAGGAGTCACTACCCAGTCTGGGAACATAGTAAATATGAATGTTCATAGCAATAGGAGAGAAAGAGGTTTGCTTGGCTACTGCATAAAGTCTAAGATTGATGAATTTTTTTTTTTTTGAGACAAAGTTTAGCTCTTGTCGCCCAAGCTGGAGTGCAATGGTGCAATCTCGGCTCACTGCAACCTCTGCTTCCCAGGTTCAAACGATTCTCCTGCCTCAGCCTCTCAAGTAGCTGGGATTACAGGTGCACACCATCATACCCGGCTAAGTTTGGCATTTTTAGTAGAGACAGGGTTTTGCCATGTTGGCCAGGCTGGTCTTGAACTCCTGACCTCAGGTGATCTGCCCCCCCACCCCTTAGCCTCCCAAAGTCTGGGATTACTGGTGTTAGCCACCAGGCCCCGCCTGATGAATCTTAATAGTAAAACCTTATCTGATTGACTACTCCACAAGATTATAGTTGAAAGTCTTAAAATCATATATATAAAGTGTTTACTTAACACAGTGACTATCTCTCGTGAAGTATTCAATAAACTACTGGTTATTATCATTATTACAAATAAGGATTTTCTTTTTTTTTTTTAATTGCATTTTAGGTTTTGGGGTACATGTGAATAACATACAAGATTGTTGTATAAGTACACACGTAGCAGTGTGATTTGCTGCCTTCCTCCCCCTCACCTATATCTGGCATTTCTCCCCATGCCATCCCCTCCCCCGACAAATAAGGATTTTCAAAGACTCTACCCAAAGAATATATTCAGATATGCAAATCAAATTTTAAGCATAAAGATGCTCAAAATAACATTACAGATAATAGTAAAAAATCAGGCCAATCAAGGCCAGGTGTGGTGGCTCACACCTATAATCCCAGCACTTTGGAAGGTTAAGGTGGGTGGATCACCTGAGGTTAGGAGTTCAAGACCAGCCTGGCCAGCATGGCAAAACCCTACCTCTACCAAAAATACAAAAATTAGTTGGGCATGGTGGCATGTGCCTATAGTCTCAGCTACTGATGAGGGTGAGGCAAGAGAATCACTTGAACCTGGGAGGTGGAGGTTGCAGTGAGCCGAGATTGTGCCACTGAACTCCAGACTGGGCAACAGGGCGAGACCCTGTCTCAAAAAAAAAAAAAAAAAAAAAGCCAATCTAAATGCCAAATAATTGCTAGGTAAATTATGGTACAACCAAGGAATGAAATATTATGCAGCCATTACCAAGCAATTTTGGGAGACACAAATAAATAAATTGGGGTATTAGAAGAGCAATTCAGAAACTCCTCAATGTTCTCAGGCACAGGTTAAGGAGCCTGGGCTTGATAGTCAGGCTAGAACCCTGTAAAGATTTCAAAGTTAACATGTTTTATCCTTTAAGAAATAAACTGGTAGTAAGAGATGCTCTTCAAAACTGGAAACCTATCTGCAATACCTTACCTGAATAAACACAGATGTTCTCTTTGCAGGGTCCCACAGAAACTCCACTGTATTTAGTTGAGTTGGATTAGCCCTAGGATCGATTATACCCACAGACATTGGGATATCTGAGAAACAAAACGGTAATAATTGAACAATTCTGAGGGCTATTCAGTTTTAAATAAGAAAGCACTGATTCTTATATTACTCATCCCTAGCTACTAAGATTTTTGTGTATTACATTCTATATTTCTTTGCTTTTCTTTTTAGATGAAGTCTTGCTCTGTAGCCCAGGCTGGAGTGCAGTGGCACCATCTCGGCTCACTGCAACCGCCTCCGGGTTCAAGCAATTCTCCTGCTTCTGCCTCCCGAGTAGCTGGGATTATAGGCATGTGCCACCAAGCCGGGCTAAATTTTTTGTATTTTTACTAAAGATGGGGTTCGCCATGTTGGCCAGGCTGCTCTCAAACTCCTGACCTCAGGTTATCTGCCCAGCTTGGTGTCCCAAAGTTCTGGGATTATAGGCATGAGCCACCACACCCAGCCCACACCTTAAATTTATTTTTGCCAGTGAAAACGATTTGATTAGAGTAAAACTGACTTAATTACTTTCCTTCTGAGTGCTTTTCTTCCTCTTCAAAAAGTTTTTAACATACGTCAATTAAAGAAATTATTTGGCCGGGCACAGTGGTTCATGCCTTGGAGGCCGAGGCAGGTGAATCATGAGGTCAGGAGTTCAAGACCAGCCTGGCCAATATGCTGAAACCCCGTCTCTAATAAAAATACAAAAATTAACTGGATGTGGTGGCGCATACCTGTAATCCCAGCTACCCCCAGGAGGCTGAAGCAGGAGAATTGCTTTAACTTGGAAGGCAGAGGTTGCAGTGAACTGAGATCGCAAAACTACACGCCACCCTGGGCAACAAGAGCCAGGTTCCATCTCAAATAAATAAATGAATAAATAAATAAATAATTTTTTGGCCGGACACGATGGCTCATACTGAGGTGGGTGGATCACATGAGATCAGGAGTTTAAGGCCAGCCTGGCCAACATGGCGAAAACCCATCTCTACTAAAAAATACAAAAATTAGCCAGGCATGATAGCAGTCGCCTGTAATTCCAGCTACTCAGGAGGCTGAGGCAGGGAGAACTGCTTGAATCTGAAAAGCAGAGGTTGCAGTGAGCCGAGGCTGCGCCACTGCACTCCAGCCTGGGTGACAGAGCAAGACTCTGTCTCAAAAAAAAAAAATTATTGTTAAATTGACAAATAGTAATTGTACATATTCATGGGCTATATAGTGATGTTTCAATACATATAATGCATAGTGATCAGATCAGAGTAATCAGCATATTCACTGTCTCAAACATCTATCATTTCTTTGTGTTGGGAATCTTCAGTATCCTTCTAGCTTAAAATACGGCAAGTTAAAGGCAGTTTCCTTTTAATTTGCCAAAATCCTATTTAAGATGGATTAAGTCTACACTATCATGAAAACTGTAATTTATAATCTGTTTCAACTATAGTTTTAAAATTAGTGTTACATTAAGAGCATTGCTATCGAAGGGGTGCTGCAGAGTGTCTTTATAAAGGTAGACAGGATTATATCACAGATGAAAGTGGAAAAATTTTAACACAAAGATTGATGCAGGTCGGGCGTGGTGGCTCACATCTGTAACACCAGCACTTTGGAGGCTGAGGGGTGTGGATAATTTGAGGTCAGATGTTCGAGACCAGCCTGGCCAACATGGTGAAATCCCATCTCTACTAAAATTATAAAAATTAGCCAGGCATAATGCTGGGTGTCTATAATCCCAGCTACTCAGGAAGCTGAGACACAAGAATCACTTGAACCCAAAAGACAGAGGTTGCAGTGAGCCGAGATCACACCATTGCACTGCAGCCTGAGTGACAGACGAGACTCTGTCTCAAAAAAACAAAACAAAACAAAACAAAGCAAAAAACTGATGCTGACTTATCAAGTCATCAAGTAATCCTGTAACAGAGTGACAAATTTTTACTTAAAAGGGAAGTAAGATTTAAGGGGCTTGGGTAGAACTTTGCTTTCCATTCCACATAGCAGATACTCAAATAGCGTTCTGTGACTTCTATTAATGATCAAACGGCGGAGTTAAGGCCAGGTGATATGTATTATCATAACTGTGATATAACAATATTACTGTTTTAGTATCAATAATTCAAACAATAAAGCATCAAGTGGGTCCCACTCCACAATATTAGTTGTGTTAAATGCATCTTAAGGTCAATTCATCATACAGATATCAAGATCACTGCATGAGAACCAATGGTTTCTCAGGTAAAATTAGTAGTAATTTTTTTTAACAACTATGTTTACCAATAGAAAATTTTAACCCATTAGAGATGCAGATACCAAGAAAAGTAACCGCATGTGTGTTTGTGAAGATCTTTCCTTTATACCCTATGACCTAGGAAAAACAAATTCTACTCTGTGTAGCAACATGGAAAGATAAAACTTAACTGTAAACCAAGAGACTGGCTTCTTCTAATACCAGAACTCTCACTTTAGGTAAAACATACTATGAATTTGGTTCTTAGGCACTAGTAAAATGAAGGAACTCTCAGCATGTTGGGGAAAAAAATCTGCCCCTCTTTACAAATGCAAAAGAAAATATCAGATCCTGAATAGCCAAAACAATCTCAAAAAAGAACAAAGTTGGAGGTCTCATGCTTCACAACTTCAAAACTTACTATAAAGCTACACTTAGCAAAATAGTGAGGTATAGGCTTATAAAGACATGTAAACAAATGGAACAGAATAGAGTGCCTAGAAATGTCTTCAAATATATGGTCAAATGAATTTTGACAAGGGTGCCAAGACCATTCAATGGGGGAAAGAATGGTCTTTTCAACAAGTGGTATTGAGAAAACTGGGTATCCCCATGCAAAAGAATGAAGTTGGGCCCTTACCTTGTACCATATACAAACATGAACTCAAAATAGATCTGTGACCTGAATATAAGACCTAAAATTATAAAACTCTTAGAAGAGGCCGGGCGCGGTGGCTCAAGCCTGTAATCCCAGCACTTTGGGAGGCCGAGGCGGGTGGATCACGAGGTCAAGAGATCGAGACCATCCTGGTCAACATGGTGAAACCC